CTCCCCCCCCCCCACCTACCACTGACTTAAGGAGGAATTTGGAGAACTCGCACCTGTGCGGGGTTGAGCCCTTCCAGTCCTGATTTAGGAAATGCATGCAGAAGTAGGGTGAGATTTAGTGTCTGATGATAGTCATGTTCATTGCAAAAAGAAGGACTCTAGATAACTGAGTTACGCTGTAGCTGACTAACCTTCATTTAAACCCAGAGCTGGAAATTAGTTTGCGATGCTTCACGACTTAAAAACGTATTGAAATCCCATGAAAACTCTTGTTTAGAAAGGGAGACTTAATAGGTTTGGGTTGGGTTGTTTTTCAAAAAAGAGCCTAAGCACAGAGGAAATTATTTGAACTTAAAAAAAAATTACACGTGAAAAGATGGTGATAACAGACATGCTGAATGAACAACAACAAAAATAATAATTAAGCAGTGTGATTGGCTGCATACACTCTAAATCGCTACTTCTCACCGCTTCCTCAAGAACTTGTTCCCTGGGGAATATTCATGAACCATACGTGCTACATAACAGAAAACACACAGCCAGTTCCTTTCTATTACTTGCCATTAAAATGTATTTTCTGAAGTTTCTCTCTGTGGACATCTCTTAAAACTTGATGTTATCAGTGGATACTTTTTTTTTCCCCATTTTAAACCTGTTGTATCATTCTGTTTATTATGTTTTTTTAGTGTGAGCAGATTGTATTTATTTGAGAAAAATGTTTGCTGTTTAAAAAAACCCCAATAATTGTATTGCCAAAAATAGCTGTAATTACCTGTGACATCTGTATTTTTTTATTTTGGGGTGGGGGGGTGGGGGGGTGTTGGTTGGTTGTTTTTAATCTCAGTTTCAAGTGCTAACAACTGTTAAAACAACCACTGCATTTTAATTTGCTTACAATATTAAATGGATTTCTCCGAAGTCGGACAAAAATGTCTCGTAGATGATTTAATAAAGATGCCACGCACCCACACCCTGCCCTTCCGATTTCAATTTTCCTCTCAAGTGTGTTGGACTTGCCTGGAGTGAGCATCCTGACACAGACCCTCGATGAAGGGCCCCTTCAGGAGGGGCGTGTGAGCTGCTGGGGTGCACCTGAGCAATATTTTCTGTGGCTCCAGCGAGATACCAGCAGGAAAAATGCCTATACTGGGCGTAAATCTAGAGGAGAGCTGTACTGGGACCTTGAAACAAGAAGGGAGTCAGGGCTGTTGCTCAGTTTGGGTTGCAGTGCTGCCCTCACCACATCCCGCTTCAGGATGCTCACCTGGATGGGCTGTAAGCATCAGCAGCATTAAGGAGAAAGGGGAATCTGAGCTACATTTTCCTTCCCTCCTCTGAAGCTGAAGTTCATTTGTTTGACAGCAGATGGCACAAAACCATCTCAGGTCTGGGTTTCCATCTACTGCCCAGGGACGGAGTTTTTCCTCTGGCTTGGAGGCCGTAGCTTCAGTGCCTCTACTGCGTGATGGCTTTTTTCCACCAGAGTTATTTTACTGTCAGGTTTAGATGTGTGGAACTGGAAGCACAGCTTTAAGCCAAAGCGATGCTTGCCTTGACGACAATCTTCTTTCCCGATCTGGATTTTTCAATCCAGCAGTAGTTTTATCAGCCAGCGAGGCTCTTTCCTTTCAAACCAACTATCTACGTTAAACTTTGTGGCCTGCAGCTCTGTTTTCCAGTAAAACTGATTAGATTATGATTAACATAAAAGCCATAGCCTTTATCAATCAAATATACACCACAGAATGATGCACTGACATGCACCTGGAAGTTTAATGGAAACAGGATCTAATCAATTAAAAGTGAAATGCATATTTGTTTTGCCAATTATCAGGCCTAGCATAAAGGACACGGCCAGCAGAAAGATGAACCAATAACCAAATTGTATTTGATACAAAAGGGTCAGCACATGGGTGAGCGCTGGGGGTACAAACCAGTCAGATTATCCATAACCGACATCAATCCCACTGACCCCAACAACGACACCGCACGACCAGCAATGGGGGGATAACTGGTGACATGCAGTCTCCCAGAGAAGGGACGGGAGACAACCGAGTCAACAAGCCGAACACATCAGACCAAGGAAGGCACAGACTGAATCTCTGCACAGCCCGGGTTTACAAAAGCCAGACCTGCCTGGAGCCCAGTCCCGGGGAGGCGGGAGGTCCTTCCCCAGCAGGGAACTCTGCCCAGGGCACCCACCTCACAGACAGACCCTGCCCCTCCTGCGAGGGGTCCCCGCTGTTATCCCTCGGGGGGACACCTGCCCTTGGGTTACTGACTGCGGGACCCCTGGGGCTCCTTTACCCAACGGCTCTGTCTGCCAGGCCGCCCACCCTGGGGGGAGCCTAAAGGGAACCTCACCCCCCTTTGGGAAGGGCTGGGGGCATCACCCACATGTCATGGGGTTGGGGTTGAACCCCAGCAGTTCACTAATGTATTTATCATTAACCATTTTATCCAGTTCACTCAAACCCGTGTCCTGCAAATGCGCACGGTTTTTAGACCGTGTTTCTTATCTTCTTTAAAAGTCAGCTCCTTTTCAGAGTGTTACTCATTTGCACCAAACGTTGGGCAGTTGCAGAGAAGTGCCAGTAGGATCAGCCACAGCATTTTGGAAATCAGTACACGTGGCTACATCATGAAAAGAGGCTCTGCCTACAACAGGCTTGGATAAATCTTGTGATCTTACCGGACACTGTGCACTCCGGAGACACAAAAAGTTTTGCTAAGATTGCTCCTGAAATAAATCAGACCTGCAGGGGGGACACGGGAAACCCAAATTCTGCCACCGGTCCTCTGGGACCTCCTTGAAGCAGTCATCCCTCCGCCCCACGCTTCCGTGCTCAGCCAACCTTTCACAACCACCTCACCAATACTCCTCGTTCCCTGGAGAGCCACAAACCACACGCAGCAAATTACCGTCCTCTCGTTACTTGTTTTGCCAGGATCCCTGCAAGCAGAGCAGAGCAAACCTCCCGTGCACGTGGCGCTACAAGATGCAGAGTGATGCAAGACTTTTGTTTCCAGGGATTTCAACCAGGCAGCTGGGTTTTCAAGCCACCTTTGCCAATTACTGCACTACAGTGGCCTCCACCAAATCAGCTCGGCCTTCCCGGTGCCTCCCCAACCCAGGGAATTACATCCTGCACACTGTGCACGTGTGGGATCACTGCACGGGATCCCTGGCAGGGTTATCCCAGCCCCATGTTTCTCTTGACCTCAACCTTCTTCCCCCTGTGTACATCTCTCCCCCCGAGCGAGGCAGAGCTGGAGGAGGTGCAAGGTGAAGTGCCCCCAGTCCTGTCACCCACCAGTTTCATTTTACAGACCTGTGAGGTCACATCAGAAATGTGAGACGGGGTGAGAGGAGAGTGGAACAGCAGAGAAAAGGAAAGGAGGCAGAGAACGGTGATGAAGTCATGGTAAATCTGCTCCCCCCGTGCTGAAAAGGGACCTGCTGTGTAGCAGCCCCAGCAGAAAGAGGAAGTCAACAGGGGCTGCCAGCACCCACACCACAACATGACTCTCACCGGGGTGCTACACGTCGCGGCTCTGCTCCTGCTGCAAGGTAAGTGATACGCGTTGCCTTACGCGATCTCCCCTTCGCAAGCAGTCCAGCCTGGAGAACTCCGCTTCCAGAGCTCCAGTGCACCACAGGCAAGGCAGCTCTGCTGTTGTTTTCCTCTTGACATCGCTGCGTTGTCACCCAATTTCCAAAGCTGGTGCTGAATTCCAGCCGATTCCCAAACCCGTTATCGAGAAAAGCCATTCACTTCCTAGCAGCGTGCTTGAGATGGCAAAAGCTCTGGGCAACCAAGAGATTCTCCCTTAAATTCAGACAGCAAATGAGCGCTTGGATACCTGTGTGTGCCTTTGTTCATGTATTGTGTAAAAAAAAGGCTAACGTCAGAAGTCAGAGTAATTTAGAAGGCACTTGCAGAGCCCTTGGAAAATGAAAAGCGCTTTAAACGCTCAATCTCCTTACTCCTACTAGACGATGTAGCCTAGACCTGCTCTGCTAATCTCCTGCCTTTCATACACAGGACAGTGCGAGAGATTCATATTTAACCATGTCAAATAGGGACAGGTTTAATTAAGGAAAGCAGCAAGACGGGTCTCTACAGCTCAGGATTCTTGCAGGCTTCACTCCCGACCTTTGCAGGAAGAATTATTTTTTTTCTTTAGGAAGACCTTTGCCTGGTGCTGGCCGAAGCAACAGTCCCTCTCCTTTCTTAAACGCTGGACCAGAAACCATAGCAGGGCTATTGCTGATGCTTTGCGAATACTCTTACACACAAAGGTATTGTTAAATCTGTCTAAACAGGGACAAAGCATTCTGTAGTGTGCTTAATATATTTTATTAGCGTTGACTAACAGGGGCCAGGCCTTAAGGAGCTATCGGTTCTATTCTAGCTGAACTAGGACCTGCAGTGCCTTTTAGACTCGCTAGAAATCAGCAGCTTCCACTCTGACTCCCCAACATTGCCACAGACCCCCGCGTGATGAATTTATACCTGTTGACAACTACTGGCTGCTCTCGGCCATCAGAATTAATTCAGACTCGCACTCGCGGGCCGACAGCCCACAGGTCAAAAATAACTCATTGAACAGGATGTCTCTGTAGGCTACCTTTTTAAAGACAACTCTGAAATGATGCACTGGGTGCGCATCACCACAACAAGATCTCTGTGCACTTTAAGGGCTGAAATAATAGCCACCAGAGGCATGAACCGTTCTGCTCAGTTACATCCTGCCATGTCTAGCAAGAAATTGTTGCCCACCTCCTACCCAGCCATTCAACTGGATCACTGTACTTGATGCCAGACTCATTTTTCCAGGTAGCTGGGGCAACTGGGATCCACACGGTACAAGAACCACTGTCCTCTGGAACTGGCACGGGAGCATCTCCCTCATCCCAGTGACTGTCCTGTGGTGGGCTACAGTGGCTTGATGACCACAGCCACAAACTGCCTCCTATACAAGGAAGGAAATTTGACCCCTGAGTTAGTCTGAATGAAGCTATGGTCTCTCATGGAAGTGACATACAGGCTCTGTTCCAGGGGCTGCTTTCACTCCCATCTTTTCTTGTTCAGTCTTGCTGCTCTCACCTCAAAAGGTGTGACTTGATAGACCCCACAGTGCTGTTAGTGACAGGAAACTGTCACTACGAAAAAAATGCAGAAGGGCCCCGTGGAAAACCACAAAGCCCTTTCTCCCACCTTAAGAACATGCACCTCCTAACACAGGTCTTCACAAGTGAAACCCACGCAAGGAGGGTCTCCTCTCCTCCTGCTCCTCTGCAAATAACCCCCATGTGGAACAAGCCCTGAGAAACCAGCTGAAACACTAGCCCTAGGAAATGGAGGTGGAATCAAGAGCAATTATAAGCCAAAGGCACTGATGTGCCATATGCGATGATAAAGCAGCTGTGGGTGCTCTACATCCCATAAGGCTTTACTGGCACACAGTGATTCAGCTGAACCTGGCCTGTGGTGTCTCCTGGCAGTAAGGACGGACAGTAGATCCATACTGCACAGTTTAAGCAGCATACACCACACTTACAAAGCTGGAAGTTAAAATACTGAGCTATTACAAGGACATCTCTTCTACAAGCTTATAGACTCCAAAGATTAGCTAGTGAAGGAAGAGAAAAGCTCTGTGGTGTGTTTGCTACTTCTGAAGTCCCAAGCTACATCACTGACCAGTTGGAGGCCACCCCTGGTGTGGGAAATGTCAGGTTTGCTCAACTCAAGGGTGAGGAATGAAAGCAGACCCCCATGGGAAACTACTGTCCCACAGGGAGACAAGCCCTTCCTCTGATTTTAGTGGTAAAAGATCAGATCCAGCAAGAGCGCCCTACGACAGCTTCATTTCTGGTATATTTTTTAATGTTTTTAAGAAAATTAAAAGCTTTCCTGAAGCCCAGAAATACTCAGTTCCCTAAACTGCAGCGTTCACATGTGCAGTAGGAACTTGCAGCAGAGAACTACCTGGAAAATAAAATCAAAACACACAAAACAGGAATCAAAAATAAAACCCTCTTACTGCCTATTTACTTAACTCTGACCCAGGCACTGCTCTTAGTCATTTCTCCAGGATATGCTTTTTTTCTGGAGAACACAATTCATTCCAGGTCATCAAATATTTTCACAAAGTGTATTATATATCTGGAGAGAAAAAACACACTTTACTGCCAGTCTGTAAAGTAAACTGGGAGGAAAGAGAATGAAATTTCATTTTAGCAACGTGCGCCAGGCCAGGTTTGTGGATCCGATCTTCAAAAGAAGTTTCAAAAGCCAGTTCAAAGCAGTTGCAGCGTTACAATTTCTGAATTTTAAAAAAGCCTCATTTTTCAGAGGTGCTGATCATTCACTCCTCGGTCGCACATGCTTGCGGATCAGGTTCAACAGCTTCGGAATGGAATAATGAAAATTAATGTTTGTGTTAACACACAGGGAGAACGTGCATCAAATGGGTCCGCTATCAATTCTTCATTGACTTGTGGGGAAGAAGGATTAATAGCTACATCTGGTTGTGCTAGCAGGTGAAGATCACAAAGTCTTACCCAGTGACTGCAATGACCCAAAGATTGTGATTTATTTCTATCAATACAACCATACTGGCAAGTTTCCTAATGTAGAAAAAACAACCTTTACACCCTTGACAAAAAAAAAAAAAAACAAAAAACAAGGGAAGTTGACACATTGTGCAAAACACTGTTGCTTTACTTTATGTCACATTTTATGTCACCTTTTATGTCACCTCTGGCAGGGGATTTTCCAGAAGCTGGCAGTGAAACCGTAACTCTAAAGGAAGGAGAGGACCTAAACCTCCGCTGCACCCTCGGCGGTGACCACAGTTCTGCCCGGCAGTGGTTAAACCCTCACGGGTTTGCCATTTTTCTCAACAGCCAGCGGGGTAAGTGTGAACACCTGAGTGTCCCAGTTTCCACGTGGGGCTGGAGGGTCACTCAGAACTGGACTTTCCCTGCTCCCACCCGTGGCCAGGCTGACTCACCTCCTCCCCAACCACCCGAGATGGTTTTACATCCAGCCCCTTTCTGGCAGGATGCTGATGAAATGGAAACCCCCACAAGAGTGGTCTGGCCCCGGAGCTTTTAGCAATGAACTGTAGTTACCACCAGCACCAAGAGATGAGCACAAAACCCCCCACTCTTGCTTTACAAGACAGATAGGAGTGGATGTGCCTGAAAGCCCGGGGTACTCTTCTGCTCATCAGGGAATTCAGTGTAGTGCATCAAGAGGAAATTTTTAGAAAACAAGAAAACAAGCAGTGATTTCTAATATGTGCTGACAAAACCAAAGTCACATTTATTGTGCTGCCTTCCACTCCCCACCCCTCGTGTGTCTCTATCCTTCTCTCTCCTCCTCTTGGTCCAAATTGGACAGCTCTGCAAGATGAGCACTGCCTTGGTCTTCCCCATTTGTAGAGTACCTAGTCAGCATCCCTGCTTGTTAAAGCCTTTAGGTTTTAATGATAATGACTGGGATTTATCCATTGAAACTGCCCAGGAGCTGAGGGTCCTCTTTGATCACTCTGGGAATCCCAGACACCGGGTCTTGCCACCTGCATCAAACCAGCCCACCAATATATCCCACAAGTACTGCAAATATTTCTAAATGGAAAATGTCATGAGTAACTGTTGCTCCTATTTGCTCAATTACAAGAGCAAGTGGGGTGAGCGTTCATTAGCCATTTTAAATGACTCGAACGTGCGTGTATTCAGAACTGCTTCCTGTGGAGTCCAGGATCCCAAGTCCAGGACTCTCAGTAGAATGAATATGAGCCATTAGATTCAAACGGGATCCAAAAAGACTCAGTGCTGACCCCACTGACAGTTAATCAATATGGGAGAAAAGGGCTATTGCAACCCACCCCATGCTGCTTTGACAACCAGGCTTCCAAAAACCACAGCAGGCTGTGGCAGTCTCAGTCTGATCCTGCACCCAAGAACCACAAGACCTAGAAGGAAATCACCTCTCCATCAGTTATCTCTATTTTTAACATATATGTGTATGTTCTCAGTATTTTACACCATAGAGGTAGGCGAGAGTAGCAAGAATTCCTTCATTTTTGCAAGTTCCCTCTGGCCCTGGCTACAGCCACAAATACTCCCTTTCTACAGTTTTGGACTGAGACAGTCTAAGTTGCCTGTATCCAGTTTTAAACACCTCCATCTTTTGATGCTTAAAGTTTTGCTGAGTTTAATCAGGTTAGGGAAAGAAAATATCCACTGGTATCTACAGCAGCAGACTCTAACCCAAGTGAAAACCGTATCTATCTGAAATCACCTGAGGATTCAACCCATAGTTTCAACCTCCCATGATCATCCTTCAGTAAGACATAACATCGACACACTGAATATTTCCCTTTTGCAAGACAAAAGAAAACAGTCCTCATTCAGAGAGAAACCAAACTTTACGCTGCATACGGACATTTTCATTTTTTATTCTGAATCAGCACTGTGAATGTCACATTGCTTCTCCAAAGAAACCACTTTGTCAGCCAGTTCCCTCTAGTCTCATCGTAGATAAAAACATGAGGAGTTAGCTGCAAGCCTCACGTCATGGTGATCTCAAAATCCTTTCGTCACTTCCATAAATTATAGCGCTGCTGTGATTTTCCTCCCTACTCTGTACTGTTACTCCAAAAAAAAAAAAAAAAAAAAAAAAAAAAAAAAACAAAACAACTTTTTGAGGTCTTTTTCTCCCTGATGACTGGTACACATCCCCAGTTTCTGTTCAATTTAAGGGCAGAAAGTCACACTTTCTGTGCTGCTGTTGTGGGAAGAGTCCATGTGACTTGCTGGCCTGACCCCGAGGACTCCCGGGGGTCACCCAGCAGTAGGAATGCAGAGACCAGAAAGTCAAGAGAGAGGAAGGGAACTATACAGCAGAGTACAGACATCCTAGGAGATGGTCTCATTAAAATCCAGGTAATTAGACAAGGATAGGAGGAGCAAAACAGCCAGTTAATAAGCAGTTAATAAAGAGATGTGACCATAGTGTTCATTTATATATCACAAAATACACCCAAAGAGGGGAAGTGATTTTTTTTTTTTTCCAAGGCCAAATAAAGGCTTGGGGAAGGGAAAGATCATCAGTTCATGCATCTACGCTCTATACCCAGAGTCATACTACTTTTCTCACTACATATCATGTCCTCACACACCAAGGTTTGCTTATATTTATCCACTAGACACTTAAAAAAAAAATTTCTATAATACCTGGGAACACAGGAATAAGAATCCTCAAAATAAAAGTGAGAAAAAAAAAAAACATGTAATCTTTCCCTGCTGACAGCACACACACCCCCCCCCAATGCCCCCACTGCTTCAGCTTACTGCTGCCTCTGTACTAGCACAGCACCCACCAGGAATGCTTCGTGCTAGAACTGCTCCCTTATGTCAAATGTTGATGAATTTAAAAAAAAAAAATCCAATAAAGAAAACTATCCTCATTCATTACTGCTTTGATTATCTGTCTTCCTCTTATGTACCAACACACATAGCATGCTGGGTTTTATTTTCCTTACAGCTCTAAGAGATCAGAGGTACAAACTTATCCATTATTCAAAGGATGAATTATCCATCCAACTGTCTAACGTGACAGTGCACGACGAAGGAGTGTATAAATGCTTCTACTACAGCATCCCCTTCAAAAACAAGACGACGGCTGTTAACGTTTTGGGTAAGTTCTTTCACCTGCTTTGTTCCAGAGGAGCAGAACAACAGAGCCAGCTCCTCAACTCCACACCTGCATTTTTGCATGCAATTGTACGGTGCTTAACACAGCATAGTCTTAGCTCAGTCCCCCCAGATAACTCGATGTATGCAGCCATTCATAAAACCGAGTAGAAGGATGTACTAGAACTGATTCTAAATCTTATTGCTGCAGCTGCTCCTTCTAAGCCAGTACTGGGAGTATCCCAAGATGCAGAAAGAAGAATTACACTGTCTTGCTATACCCAAGGATGTAAACCACAACCCCAGATTACCTGGCTGTTGGACAACGGGATAGAGCTTCCTGGTAAGTGGTAAAAGACTGAGGATTGATTACTAACAATTTCTTCTTAACAGCCTTGGGCACGTTTAAAAATACTAGAGGGTGAAACACCTTTTGCAACACATCAGCTGGGACTACCACTCATCCTCTGCTCCTTTAGTACAACTTGGCCCCCGTGGTGCAGGTCTGGAGGAAAGTCAGCGCTAAATTCTGGGGTCTGTGCAAGGGAGAGGGCTTATCCACTTTGCTCACATTCAGTGCAGAACAGCAACACTTGGCGCCAAAATCCCTTAAGAGTCTGGTGTGAAATTCCACTGAAATAAAATGAAACCAAAACTCTGGGGGCACCGTTTTCAAAGCCCCAGTGTAAAGTCTGTTCACAAATCCGTTATAACTATTTCCATGTTCTAACCAGTAAACAGATGTTCCTCAGCTTTGCTGAGCAGCTCACACCCACTCCCCCCTTCCTCAAGCAGCATTTCTCTCTCATCCATCTGTCCTGAGCCAGGCAGCTCGCTAGCAGGAGTAAGAAGAGAGCTCAGGAAACACAGCCCACACCACCCTGCTACGGTTTCCCCAGAGAGGAAAGGTCTGCACCCATCTGCTTAACCTGTGTGCTATATAAACAGCTGCTCTGAAGGCCACGTTTAATAGTAACTACCTTACTAGCTGTAGCACAGTGGAGAGGAAACGCACATCTGTAGCAAAGTGTGAGGAAAATACTCATAGATGCAAATGTATTTCTTCTCGCGTATTAACAAGCTCTTATTTGTAGTTTGCATCATCAAACAACACATTCAAAGTTTAGCCTGTAACATTCCTCCTCCCCCAAGCCCCAAAACGGCTTTTTAAACTAAGAGCAGAGGAAAACAACAGAGAATTGTTCTGGCCTGAAAATAGCTAGAAATCAAGACAAAAGTAAAAAAAAATCCAGGCTGACAGATACACGGGCATTAACGCAACTGCATAAAGCCCTACGCTTAAAGAAATTGCACTCGGGGGAAGCAGCCTAGCTGCTAAGCAAGGCTCACGAGAGCCAGGGCAGAGGGTTCTCTGGAATTGCAGGGGGAAAGGTGCTCTGGAGCAGCACGTGGGTCTTGGAAAAGCAGATCCGAAAATCCCGCACGCGTTTGGGAACAGCAGGGCTGCGTGTGACCGGAGGGGTTTGGGGGAATACCAGCTGTGAAGCGATTAAGAGCTCACGGAAGCAATACATCACCTCGAAGTTTTTACATACATTTTTTTCCCAGTGTTCTAAATACAGGACTTTCCTTAAACTTGAAACAACCTCAGTTCTGGCCTGGTAAATTATATTATTTGTAACAACGCACAACTCAGACACTAAACACCTCCCACAACACACAACATCAACCATCCGTTTCTCCACTTATTTTAGCAAAACTCTATACTAACCTTTTTCTCCTGGTTCCCTCTCAGCACTAGCCCAGCCAGCCAGCCCAGTAAGAACTATCTGACCGCCCCCAGTCTCCTGGGACCCCAGTTAAGCACCACAGGGGCTGAGCTCGGTCCACTTGATTGGTTTCAGCTGGTTTTCAGAGGAAGGACTATTTGCATGAAGAGGTGCTGATTTCACCAAGTGGCCTGCTTGTGGCAGACAGGAATTAGGATGTTTGAAAGGAAAAAAAATTCACTATCCTAATTCACTTTCTCAACCTTTCTGCATGTGCCTTACCTTTTTGGTTTGTTTTTTTTTTTTGAAGGTGACTATCTTCAAGCACCACTCCACTCCCCCCTGTCCATTCTCAGCTTTAATCACTTACAGCAAATATTTATACTAATCAGAAAATAGCTAATACATCTTAATTACTGGCAGCACCTCAGTTCCACCAGGGCTCAGCAGGGGCAAACCCGCTGTAATTACTGAGCTGTTGCTGACAAAGATTATTTCCTCCCTAGCAAAACCACTTTGAAATTCTTTTGAGCTCTTACATGACCCTGCTGGGTATGGGAAAAGAGGGTTGAGAAATACTGGTCTATGTGATACAGCAAGTTACCTGCAAAGGCTGATTTTGAAACAAAATCCTTAATTTAAGAAATAAGGTGTTACCAAGGGTAACAGATCAAGAGGAGGCATCAGTTTGCTTCCAGAGAAGCTCTGCTTTATAAACAGACAGTAGAAATTGTTGTGCTGCCATGGGCGTTGAAAAAACCTCCCTCTCCGCCAGAGCTATTCAAACACGTCTCCTTGTGTCACATGAAATACATCTTTAGTTTTCCGTGTCGTATAAATGTGTAGAAGTCAGTACTGCCTAGAGGACTAGGAACTACGTCAGACAAGTTACATGGCTCGCTCTGATTCATTATGGCAAGGCAATTAATCTTCGTGTTTAACTTTCTCCAGCTGCAAAAGGGGAAGAATCAAACATGCATTGTAGGGATGGTGGAGGACTTGTACGGGATTTCATAGTTACAGAAATGCTTGTTTATTGCAAACGTAAATAAATATTGCACATCAATATTGATTGTGCATAGTTATCAATATGCACAAATATCGCACAACTTTTTACGTTTGGGGTGACAAATCCACAGCTGTTAAGACACGAATTCAATGCCCTTGGATATCGCACGGCAGAATCAGAACTTCTCTAGGTCTCGGTCGCTGCGGAACAGCAGGTCCTTGCCCTGAGGCTCCCTGCTCAGGGCCATGCTTGCCTGTGGCACACAGCAAAGCAATTTCTTCTGTTCAGGAAGGACCAAAAGTGCTGGTGGGTGTTTGGACATGTCGCTGCGCCCGCAGGGCACTGACAGGGAATTTCCCCAGTCAGACATGAAGGAGCAGAGGCTTTGGGTTGAGCTCAGGAGGTGCAGCGAGGTCTGTGCTTACACAACTGCCGAGGAAAGAAAACGTGACCTTGGTGCCTTGAACCACTTGTGCACAGTAACCAGGGGCTGCTTTAGCACAGCGAGGTGATGCAGATTGCGCCGGGAAGGGTTTTCATTCAATTGCTCTTGACTAGAAAGCACTTAAATGTTTTCTTCCAATGGGTGTATAGGTGACAGTAAGCACGAGTTAGAAGCTGATGGGAAGAAATGGACCACAACCAGCACACTGACAGTCCTCGCCTATGGGTCCAGCTCAACAGCCAGCTGCATTGTTCACCACCAAACACTAAAAGGACAGAAGCTGATGGCATCTTTCCAGTTTGAGGACCTCCCTAGGACAGGTACAGCAGGCTCTTTCAAGCAGAGGCTATCTCCCATTTCACCACTCTGAAGTGGTAAAAGTTACGCAGGTACATAGGCAAAGCTGAAGCCCTTAATCTACTGCCCGAATCTATCTTTAAATCAGGCAGCTACCTGGGGCAAAAGAAGAACTCCAAACTAAGATTTCTGGGCTTTCCCCTGCTTCTTAACTACCTTAAAATTCATTAAACATTAAACCACAACAGCCCAGGCAGGTCAGTTCTGAAGTGCTGCTGCTAGAATTCAGATGATGTTTGTCCTAAAGATCTAAAGACAACTCAGAAATTATGTTCTCAAAAAGCTGTGAGCTTCCCACGTCTCCTGCATATTATCCATTCAGAACACTAGCAGGGTGTAAATATTGTAAATTAACGCTGAAGCTGCCTGTCTAATAATTCTCAGACTAGAACTTGCCTTCTGCCTATTTACCCATCTGTAGGATGGATCTAATTATTCTTACTTGGTTCTTCCTTAGATTGCTTGATTCAGCAAATGCTTATAAAGCGCTCTGAAAGTTGTTCTGTTGTTGGGCTTTTTCAGTGACAAAACCAAATCCTGCACCAGCTGCGCTGGAGGTGGATACACATGTCCCTGAGAGCGAGCAACCCGCAGGTAGGCATTAACTATTAAAATTAAAAGAGGCATTTAGCCTCTTTTTAATTACTGCACAGGTCAGGTAAACACAGAGTCTATCACCAGTTGCCATCAGCACTGAGGGACATTTTGCAGAGTCTTCAGAACCACTTTGGTTTTTTTTTTCCCCAGTGACCACAGAAACATCAGAGCTGAACAGCAGCACGGCCTCTGCTCCAAGCTTCCCACAGCATACTGGTAAGGGTTTCACTTTCTGGTTTTTATATAAATATATATTCAGAGGACAGGGAAGCCACAGGTGCGAGGGTAGGAGTGTAAGTCTAACCACTGATCAGACAGAGCAGCCAAACAGCCCAGAGCATGGAGCATCCCAGGCAGGTTTGTTTTTTAAGGATCGGTTCAATGGCAAAATGTGTTCTCTGATTTTTGTCTTGTGTTCAGGGGAGGGTCCTTTAGGATCCGAACAACCAGCTGTTCCTTCTGCAGCACCAGATGATACAGTGGTTACCAGCTCAGTGTCAACAGCAGCCCAGCAAAACCTCCAACCAGATGTCACATCTACTTGTAAGTTTGGTCATAGTTACATGAATTTACCAAACCAGGACAGAAATGCTCCAGAGAACAGCATTACGTCCCATGTTACAAACAAGCATGTAACATAAAAAGCATTTCTTGCTTGTGCGGGGAGTTTTACAGCCATGAAAGCAGACGGAGTCCCTCGCGTTAGATGCAGAAGAACATCAGCCTTAGCAGCAGCGGCCAGCCCGGCCGGTGTCGCAGCACGGTGTGAGCCCAGGCTGGGATTTCTCTGTCCAGTCGCACTAGATGGCACTGTGCAACAACGGTTATCTGCACAGGCTGCACTCACTGAACTGAGGAGCTGCTAACAGCAGAATTAAGAGCTCCACCGCACAAATCGGTTGGCCAAAACTCACCAAGGTGGGCGCACGCACCTGCTTAGTGGCCCTGCAGTGGAAAAACGACTGGCTGTGTTAGAAATACGTGAACTCTATTGTTTATATTCATGTAAAAGTGCTACATCGGTGATTACAAATGTCACAGAATGGCCACATCCTGATAAATAATTCATACATACGTTGATAAACATACCTGGAAAGGGAGCCTGAATCTTTTAACAGGCCTTTCACTAGGTGTGCTTACAGGTCTGCTGGGGGAACAGGGGGGTTCAGTCTGGAGAAGAGGAGGCTGAGGGGAGACCTCCTGGCCCTCTGCAACTCCCTGCCAGGAGGGGGAAGAGAGGGGGGATGAGTCTCTTGAACCAAGTAATGAGCGATAGGACAAGAGGGAATGGCTTTAAGTTGCTCCAGGGAAGGTTTAGACTAGATATTAGGAAGGATTTCTTTGCAGAAAGGGGTTGTTGGGTGTTGGAATGGGCTGCCCAGGGCAGGGGGGGAGTCTCCATCCCTGGAGGGGTTGAAGAGTCGGGTCGTCTTAGGGCTGAGGGATCTGGTGGAGTTGGGAATGGTCAGTGTGAAGTTAATGGTTGGACTGGAGGAGCTTCAAAGTCCTTTCCAACCTAGATGATTCTGTGAAGAAAATCTCTGATGAATATAAAGTTTAGGTAGACACAGCACGCATGATCATTTTAGTTTTATAAATCAAAGTTAATGATACAAGGATATATTGGCTGTGTGCCTAAGGAAAGCCAGAGCTCACCATTCTGTTTGCTCAGGGTCCGAAGCAACGCCAGCTGCAGCAGGAGAGGAAGAATTGGCTGGTTCATCGAGTTCTTGTGTCCCCAACCGTAGGACCTTACATCATCGGTGGCATCAGGGGGGCAGTGGCTAAGGACGGGGATTCTCACACTGGGTCATTGCACCACTGTGAGCTATGAGGACAGTAAGAGAGTAGTCAGGGATATGAATACCAAAAAACTATCTGCTTTAAGGGAAAGGATACAGGCTCCTTCCTGCTTTTGCAAGAAAAAGAAGCAAACGAAGGGATAGGGGAAGCCCAAAATGAGCAAAGAACCAAAGCTCAGCTTTGTGTTACTTTGGCTCTGAATGGGGAATGTTGAGTTCAACAATGTGTAAGAAACTCTGAGGATTTTCTGTTCGTAAAGCTTAGGTGTCTTCAGATTGAAACAAAATACAGCGCTAAGGAAGTGAGCACAGAACTTTAAATCAAGGGCTCCAGAAGTCTCTTTCTGTTGCAGTACCAGGTGCCCTGCGCTTATAAGCTGCTGGGAAAATACACATTTCTTAAGCATCCCTTTGCCCTTCAGAGAAATACTGTTCTCCTTTCCATTCTTCCAGGGACTGAAACAGCATTCAATGGCAATGTCACAGAAGAACTTTCCAGGACAGAAGCGCCACTACCAAGTGAAAACGTAACTGTGATTTCCGTTGTCACCTTCGGTACGAACTCTTTGATGAGAGCTTCCAAACATGAAACAAACTTTCTTACACCAAAATAGTTCTTTCTGACCATGTATCCACCTCCAAACCTTTTGTCCGTACCCTAAGGATAGCGCTGGCTTGTGATCTTGAGGAGAGACCACAGAAATAACAACCATTTTTATCATCTAGAAAAAAAGCTAAATTTTACTGTTTGTTGTGCTGGAACACAAGTCCACTGATTTCAGTCAGTTCTTCTTGTTCATACAAGAAGAAAAAATTTGACCTCACATCCTAAAATTAGGCCCAGTGAGGTGACTTCCACTCTCCCACCATGTTCATCTGGCCTGGGCCAGGTTATATCATTCTTGTCTTAATTACCAGAGATTTAGAGGAAGCTATTTAACAACACAAACATATACCTGCCTCTTTTACAGAGCAAGATCAGAAATCTGAAGGCATCAGAAAGAAAGAAAATAATCTCTTGCTGCCAATCTTGGTGGCTGCTCTGATCTTCATGCTGCTCATCATTGTGCTGCTTTTTATGAGGAAGCTGAAAAAAGCTCATGGAGCGTGGAAAAGAGGTGGGTGACAGCCCTGGCCGAGCAGCTGCTGACGGTGCTTTATTCAGAGGAGCTGGGGAGCTGAGGAGCCTCCTAAGCAGAGACAAGACACAGCCCCTCCAGCCTCAATTGAATGTCTTGTCCCACAGACAGTGACTGCGACTTGTTGCTGAAGAATCCCTGTCACTGGTGGCCTTGGGCCAGCTTCAGCTGACAGGAGGTGCCACGAAAGCCAACGATATTGTTGCCTTAAGCATATCTCTTAGACGGTCAGGATGACCAAAGCCCCATTTTATAACTAGTCTCTCAGGATTTTTATGCTCAAGGCAAAGGATGAGGAATAGTCATGAAAAAAATCTCATCATTTTAATTACATTTGTTTTCTGCACAGAAAATGATGCTTCAGAGCAGACGCTGGAGAGTTATAAATCCAAATCTAATGAAGACAGTCTGGGCCATGAGAAGAATGGACACGGTAAAAAAAAGGTTTAAGCAACATAAACTAATTCCTGTTAGAGCATCACTACTGACCACAGCCAGAGCAGACTGCAGCCAATCTTACTCTACAGGGATATTTGCAAATTGCATGTTTTAAACCCAAATATTCTAACCCAAACCTTTCATACCCAGAGGGTCACCACAGATAATACAGCTTCAGCAAGAGTGACGCAGAAGCAATACAAAATTAAAACCATTGCTTTTTATTTGATAGGTTAGACTGGATAATCACAATGGGTTTATCTAGTTTCTAAATATAATCTATTAAAACATTATTAAAAACAATATGCATGGTATGCACCGTGAACACTACTATTGTTAAATTGCCCTGAATGGCTCTTCTCTGATTTCACCACCAACAAAACATCAGTGCTTCACCAGTCCTGTCCTCAGCCAGTGGCTACAGAGGAGGAAGGTCTGGCAGCCCCCTCAGCTGCAGTATTTTTGCTCCACGCTTGGACTTTTGTCTAAACAAAGTCAGCATTCGGCAGGCGAATAAGCCCAGATGGCAAGAATGAGGGAACTTTGCCAGCGTCTTTCAATATGAGCTCACTGCAGCACCTAAACGGTATTAAAAGAGAAGGAGGCTCATAATTATTGTCAAAATATTTTCAAAACATGACTTCTTTTTCAAATCTTTCAAAATATGAAATATTTAAACCACTTCTAGAACAAACTAGTGCCTTGTGTATTGTATAACCTGCATTAGATCCCATCAAGCATCTCAGTCTTTGCTGTGATGGATGCCCTAACGATTTCTAGGAATGCATGTTGTCTTTTATTATTCTATAACACTAACTTAACACCTATTTTGAGCAGGTACCACAGCCCCTCCTTTACAACATCAGTAATAGATGTGTGTGTATCTTTCAGCTGTCAATCAGAAAGCCAACGTGCAGTATGTGACAGAAGGATGTGTGGGAACAATACAGGAGAATCCAGGAGACCAAAACATTGCAACGAGTGAGAAACTGTTTGGATGTGGGAAGGAAACAGATGTATAGCCATGGCAAATCTGTTCAATGTGCAGTAACACCACTGTTCCCTGATTCTTTTAATACAGCATTCAGATATCAATATGCTTTCCAGGAGCAGAAGTACAGCTACCCTCAGTCCAAAAGCCAGTTGGAACTGCTTTTCTTTAAACGGTGGGATGAGTAGATGGAAGCCGTGCTCCTAAAAACCAGTTGGCAATGAACACTGTGATTCACCTGTAATCCTCGGAGGATTTCATTAACCACCGCCAAAAATATTGCTCAGCAATCCCATCTTGGGTCCTTATCAGCAATTAGGATCCCGGCAAGGGAACGTGGAGTTAGCACGGAGGGCTGCAGGAGATGAAGATATTCCTGTAACGCTTCAACCACCTCCTCTGTAAGGATGGGACTGAGCAGGAAACCCAGGAAAAACTGGGACCGTGTATTATTCTGACCCCAAACCTGAACATCCAGTTCCAAGCAGGAAGGCATCCTAATGTCCAAAGTGTTTAAAATAAATAAATAAATTGTTCCCCCTTGCTAGGACTTCTGCCTCAGCTGTACGATGACAACTTCAAGTCGCTGCTGTGCAAGACTGAAGCAGCAGCAGCCTGCATGGAGCTCTGAAACCAAAAAACATTGGGGTGCGGCAGCATCCCACATCTCCTAAGGTCCCAGGGGTGTGACTGAGAGGATGGAAGTCAAACGAGGGGTCGGCAAAGGTGAAGAGGACACGCGATGGTACCCGTGGGACCCCCCAGATCCAGGGGTGATGTCGCTCGCCTGCCAGCGGGCAAGCTAGGAGGATCTCGCCAAGACTTTGCATCTGCAGAGCCCCGCCACGCCATCACCGGGAATTTTTTTATGTGGCAGAAAGATAAAACTGAATTCCGAAAAATAAAGGGAATGTGCATCACAGGGGAAAGCTGTGTTTCTTTTTCTCATTAGAGGTGATCAGTTCTCGCTAGGAGTAAGGAAAAAAAAAATGCTGGAGACCCCTTTAGAACACCGAATTAAAGCCCGTGAGGGGACTGCGAGGAATCATTTTAATTTTACGAGGAAAGTGGCTTCGCCCCGCGGCCCCTGGCCCGGGCGCTACCACGCTCCCGGGGGGGGACAGGGGCTCCCCCCGCCGCCACCGCTCCTGGTAGGCGCCGCGTCCGGCCGGGCAGCCATGGCAACGGCGAGGCCTTGGGGCAGCGCGGCGGCCCTGTGAGGGGCCTGGGGTGAGGGGGTTTGGGGTGAGGGCAAGTGGATTTGGGGTGAAGGCGAGGATTTGGGATGAGGGCGAGGGGTTTGGGGTGAGGGGATT